CTTAATATCTTCAAAATTCTATCAATCTAGACAATTAATTGTAGAAAAAAATAAGTAAAAAGTTATGGCCATTATGTTATATCACAACACAAGAAAATGAAAGAAAAAAAAAAGGAGGAAATGGATGAAGAAAATTAGAGAAAGAGGTCTTATACCGAAGAAAGCAAAAGGAGAGAGAAAAGGGGTCTTGAAGAAGAAGATACACGCCAACTTCTTCTCCCCTACATTGACCTAAACTGATATTCACTGCTTTAGAAATTATAAAGTTACAAAAATGCCCCTATTAAGTGATTCTTAACAAGGAGTAACAATCTCACCATTTGTCACATTTTCTCTTACAAAGTGACAATCAACTTCTATACGTTTGGTCCTCTCATGAAATACCGGATTGGAAGCAATATAAATAACAGGTTGATTATCATAAAACAACCTAACATGTTCCCTATAGGAATGCATATCTCTTGGAGTAGATGCTTCAACCACATCAACTCACAAGTAGTATGGACCATTGCTCCATACTCAACCTCAGCACTACTCCTAGCAACTACACTCTGCTTTTTACTTTTCCAAATAATGAGATTATCACACAAAAAGGTATAATACCCTATAGTAGACMTCCTATCCATTGTGGAACCTGCCCATTCTACATCAAAATATCCCTTTAAGGTTAGCTCTCCCCCTTTCTTGTATAGTAATCATCGGTCTGACGACACTCTTGCAACTTCCCAATGGGTGATTGTAGGATTTTGCATGAACTGACCCAAAACTACAACACTGAAGCCAATATTAGGACGAACGATTGTAAAATAGATCAATTTTCCAACTAATCTTTTGTACCTTTTAGGATCGTTGAAAGACCCCCCTGACTATTAGTTATTTTCACATTATGATCCATAGGGGTTTCAACTGGTTTAGCCCCTAGTAGACCTGTCTCATCCAATACAAAGAGATTCCCCTCTTTGAGCGGGCTACAACACCCAAGAAATAAGTCAAGGATCCTAAATTCTTGGTTTGGAAGTGTTGTTGCAAAAAAAAATGTTCTAAACCATTAATCCCACCAACATCACTATTAGTAATGACTATATCACCAACATACACTGCCTAGATAATCTTCTCATATGTAATATCTCTACTAAAAATAGAATGATCAACTCCACACTACTTGAGACTAAACTCTACCACACTGCTAAATCTACCAAACCATGCTCGTGGTGACTGTTTTAGACTATAAATAACTTCTTCAAAATACAAAGTGAAGGATGACCCAAACAACAATGCCATTAGTGAGGAGTAAAGGATTAGTGAAGAGCTCTTGGTGGACCATCGACATCCAGACAGTACAGTCTTCCAACTTCACGACCTTCACCAATCGTCTTCCCCATCGAAAGTTCCTAAAAAACACAATAGGAAGGAAATGACGTGATTGAACAGTTTGATGACTTTGTGAGTTTATTTATAGACAAGAGACTAAAAGGAAACTTCAAAGTTTAAAATAGAGTTAATGCTAATATCAAATCCAAGGGAAATATTACCAATACCATTAATAGGAGAAGAAGTGCCATCAGCTAGGGTAACTATTTAGGTAGTGGAAGGAGAAGACAAAGCTCAAAAAGATCTGAAGATCCAGTCATATGATTTGAAACTCGAAAATCAATTACCTATGATAAATGACTAGAGCTGGAAACTAAACAAGTTGTACATGACTTAGCAAGAGCGGCAGTGGACTTGGAAGGCACGAAAGAAGCTTGATGAAGTATCTCATATTCTTCACAAGTGATGGAAACCAACTCCTGTGGCAAGCAACTCACCAGTAGAGTCATTAATTCCAGAATCATCCTCAACTATGGCATAATTGGCCCATAAAGATGGTGGACTATGCAAGTCCTAACAGAAGGCTATAGTGTGTCCCTCATGACCACAATGTGTGCACTCTCTAACTACACCATGACCACCTCTATTTCTTCCACCACTTCTTCCTTCCCTACTTCCACCACTAAAACCGCGGATGGCACCACTAATAACACTTCTACCCCTAACACCTCTATCACTATCACCTCTGGTCACTACTAAAGTCGACTTCTCTAAAGTAGCGGAATGATCATTATGGAGTTAATATATCCTCCGAATAAGAGAAAACACCTCAGATAGGGAGAGGAGATCACTACTTTCCAACATTTGATCCCTTACAGCTGGTTCAAACTCATAACTCAATCCTAACAAGAATCTGACAACATCTAAATGCTCCCATTGAGCTTGTTGTACCTTCAAATCAAGGGAAAGTTGGTAGACTTTCCTTATTGAAGAGAGAAATAATTCTATCACCTTGTTGAAGAGAGAAAGTTGGTAGACCTTTAAATCTGACAACACTTTTATCACCTTGTTGAAGAGAGAAATAATTTTAATAAAATTGGTAAATCCTTGTTACATTGTCCTACCCAGAATACAACCGTCGGGCAAGCTCCCAGATTTCCTTAACGGTGTCCAAAAGCATAAGATTAGCAATAATATTGTTTTCCATACTAGCACGAGCACGTTTTTTTAGCTAGAATTAAAAGTTGTTGGCTGCTTTAAATAAACATGTTTGCTAACACCTTTATTCTTGAAATAGGGCTGTCAACCATCTAGACATTTATTCTTGAAAGGAGAACACAGGCACTATTGCATAAGGTGATTCTAGATAATCCTGTTCTTCCCAACACTCCGCAAATGCCGCTAAAGGCCATATGGAAAAGCACCTTACTCTTTGTTTGTTCCCTTTTTGGGTATTGTTATTTGTTTCAATTCATGGGCAACTTTACAAGTTCTATAAGCCTTCTCTTTATCATCGTCATCATATGCTCCAGCTATATGGGTTGGGTTACACAAATCCTATTTTCCATTTTGTTTAATACCATATATATTGTGTGATGCACGGGCATTGTCAAGAAAAATAGAGGAGCCATATGACATTTTAAATGGGTGTATCATATCATATCTTTACTTCATTGATATACTCTATATAAATGGGTGTATCATATCATATTTGGAATTAGTGATTTTTGAAAAATCATCAAAAATTGTTGTTTGGTATCATTTATGCCATGTAAGCCCATTTTTGAGAAATCAGCTTTGAGTTTGTCTGATACTGATTTTCAAGGGCCGATTATTTTTTGTATTAGAGTAATATTCATTTCCATGTTGTATGCCATGTCATCCTCAAAAAATCGGAATCGGTTAAAAATCAGGAAATCACCAAAAAAGGTGGTCCCTAAAAAGGGTTGATTTCAATAACCGATTTTTGGCTAATTTCTTAGAACTCAGCACAATCGGCCAACCAAACAAGAAAAAAATTTATTGATTCTTCAAATTCTAATGTGCATCCTATGTTGCACCAATTTCTAAGAAATCATCATCAATGCCAAACATCACCTTAATGCTTTTAGATGAAAATGGATGATATGGTAGGTTTCTTATCAATTTCCAAAAAAGATAATAGTTTTAATCAAATGGAACTCTTTACCAAAATTATTCATTCATAAATCAGAAAGTTAATAATTTTTGTTAATATTTAATTTACCAAAATAAATCAAAATTAATTTCGTGAAATTAATTTTTGGGGATTTAACAAAAACTAACAAATTTGACAAAATTAGTTTATCAAAATTCATTATGAAATTTACCAAAAATAATTTACATAAATTAATTATCTCTAAATGAATTCATCAAAGTTATTAAATTAATCAAATTATTATTTGATAATTACAAAATTAATTAAGTAATTTTTGATAAATTATTAATTTACCAAAATTAAGAAAAATGAATTTACTAAATTTAATTTTTGGGTTTTCTAAATATTATTAATTTACCAAAGTTACTAAAGCCGGAACCGCAAAGTTATAGCCTCCGAAAGTTTACATACACATTTAGGCGGTGTTTGGTGGCATTGGCAGTTTTAGGCCCGATTTCCAAAAAATGCCTATGCCCAACGATACACATCGATCCACAATTTACAAGGGCAAGCACAGAATAATTTTCGTGGTAAGACAACTACCCTTAGGATATTTTTGGTTGAAATTGTCATTTCCCACAATGTACCATCAATCCACAATTTACAGTACCACCATGTGCTTGATGTCGATCTAACGGCCCCTGTGCATTTGGATGAACTCAGAACCCAACAAGAATAATGAGAAAAGAGATGGAACCGGTACGATGGTGGTAGTGGTGGGGCTCAGATGTTAATACTTGTTCATAACAAAAGAGAGAACCGTTGGTGCCATGTCATAGAGCCATCGAGGGCACATTGTGGGAAATGACAATTTCAACGTTTCCGCACCGTTCGAATTTCGATTTACTATTGCCGTTTTTCGGTGTTTATTCAAAAAACACGTGAACCAAAATCATTCTAGGAATGAGTCTACGAGCATCCTCGACCAGCAGATCTTTCATAGATGAATCAAGTCTAAGAGATAATGATCGTAGGTTTAAGTTCCTTAACAAGTAATTTTCAATTTATTTTTGTTTATAAGATATAAAATCAAAATCATTTTTAGGTCATTTTATTAATAATATATAATACTTGGTCTTTTTTAATTTAATTTATTTATACTACTCAATATCCAATTGCAATTCTAAATAAGTTTGATGGATAATATATACTTCGAATTCAGGTTTAAATGAATCAAATTTGAAATTAGCTGTCCAATATGATTTGATTCATTTGCACCCTATTCATTTATGACCCTATCCTTTCTAGATTTTCCATTTCCACTCATGCATCACCATATGGTAATTTTTCTTACCACACCCCAACTCATCAACCATCTGAGGTTTTCCATGGCATTGCTGAGTGCTGACATTACAGCTGTTCTATTTAATTTTTCTTTTGACCCAAGTGGTAATTTTTCTTATGAGCAATATCCTAATTTGTCACCCAAGTGCTGACATTACACCCCCACTCGTAATTTTTCTTATGAGCAATATCATCCTCAATCTCTCTCGTAAAATCTTAACCAATGAACTGTACAAAGAAAATTGTTCTCCTTTATTAGATTAGCTCGTCTTCGAAATTACATAGTGCCCACTGCCCAGTATTGCCGGTTCAAATGAAATACCACATGTACAAATGCCAAGTATGATGTTAAGGCTAAGCAATCTAGGAGACCATGTATAAATTCAAGATGTGTTGCACATTTTATTGCCCAACAACGATACATCAGACGGACATATCTCTGCTTCCTGGAAGTTGGTTGTGAAGGAACTCAAGCACTGAAAGGCGCTGCATGTAAAAATAAGGTGAGCAAAAAATAACTTAAGTAGAAAATTAGAAACTCAGATAAAGCATCAATAATTCAATTCAATATTTACCCGTTGTTCAAGGCCAGTCTCTTTGGGACTCAGTGACAATGACTCCAAGCATTTTATTGCTTCTTCAAATCCACGAAGAGCCAAATCCTCGTTCCCAAGGCTCCTTTCTGCATCAGCAACTTTGGCTAGAGATACCGCAACATCCAAAACCTGAGAATTAAAAGGAATCTTCAACAAATATTAGCAGGAAAAGAGCATAAAAAGGAATATATTTGCCAAAGCGCATGTCAAAAGGTGGAAATCAACTTAGAATCTAGTATCAGATTATCAATCAGTTTTTGGAAGTGCCTGAGCTAAGCTGAGAGAAACAGTGTTCGTGGTTCTTTAGCTACAGTGGGCTAGTGAGTGCCCTGGTGAGCGGGCTTTGGCCTCTGGAGAGGATGAATGAAGACATGGAGGAATGCTGTGGATAAAAAGAGAATAAAAAAATCAGCCATGGAAGAAGCTTCCAAGAGATACCCATATGGTAAGGTTCTTCCTGATAAAAAGTTGATCTTAAGCTTAAAGGTGTGCTAGAAAGAGAGAAATCCATGGGGCAAGAAGCTGAAATATGAGGTAAAACCTACTACAAAGGATGTGGTATGGATTGAATTTGAAGATGAAGATAATGCAAGAAAGGTGCTAAAGAAGACCCCTCGACTGATCAAAAGATACCCTCTCCTACAAAAAATGGGCAGTGGATATTACGCCAAAAAGTTTAGTAACATAAATGGATATTTGGATAATGATATTGGATTTGCCCACGGAGAAAGCATAGGCATATGGTAAAGAGTCACACGAGAAGGTGTTGAAGGCAACCCTAGACAGGAAGATTCACATAAAGAAGAATAAATTTCTGCCAAAATGGCAACCTTACCTCAGGATACGGGTCACACTGAAGGTCCTAGAGCCAAATACCAAATGGAGTTGATGACTTCAAAGACAATGGAGACGAGGTATGGTACCTTTTCCAATACGAAATGCTTCCTATTTTCTGTTGCAGGTGTGGTTGTCTTGGCCATGAATAAAGTTTTTTTTTTATAAATAAAATCATTTCCATTATTTCAAAAATTGGTTACATGAAAATCCCCTTAGAGGCACGAGGTGCCGCCTCTCCAAACAGCAAATACATAAACTACAACAGAGATTACATGAATGTTGATGTTAAACAAGAGTTACAATTCGCCCAGAACAATGTTTCCCTATTTGTCCCTTGTTTTGCCAAGACATCGACAAATGCATTAGCTGATCTCCGAACCCACTGTACTGTTATAGACATTTCTTGTCAGCCATTTGAATTTCTTTAACTCGTTTTTGTAGCCCCAAGGGACGTCCTCCAGATTATTTAACCAATCCACCACTGTCTTAGAATCCCCTTCAATCAGAAGCTGCTCCACGCCCACTTCTTTTGCAATAAGTATTCCTTGTATTGCAGCTAACAGCTCTGCCCAGATAGAGTTCCCAACACCTTAAGGGCCAGAGTAGAGCAAGACAACCTCTCCAGCCTCATTCCTCAGTACACCTCCCATCCCAAAGGGACCCAGGTTACCCTGGCTACTCTCATCAAAATTCAGCTTCAAAGAACCAAGAGGAGGGGGGACCCAGTTAGTCAATACCCTTACCTTGGAGGAGGAACAACTTGCTACCAACAGCCAATCCTTCCAACAATCATTAAAAAAGAAATGGTTAAACAATTTTAGAGTCTTTAACCAATGTATTGACCTGTACATAATGCAGTCCTTTAAGGCTTGACTACTCCTTCCTTTTTCTTTGAAGATCCTGGTATTCCTTTCTGCCCATACTGTCCATAACAGGGCTGCTTGTGTGCACCTCCACATTTTCCTTCTCTTTTATGGGGCCAAGAGAAAAAAGAAGGGTTAAAGATTGTGATTACTTCTGCTGGCATATCCCAACTACACTCAAACAAAGATAGAAGCCAAACCTAGAGCTCCACAATTACACTACAAGATAAAAATGGATGAATACAATCCTCACCATGAGATCTGCAAAGAATGCACCAGTTTGGTGAAATACAAAGGACGGATCTTCTCTTTTGTAAGTTATCCATCGTGTTTACTTTACCATGCCACACTTCCCAACACAAAGCCAAAACCTTGGGGGGACTGGCCTACACCAGACTTCTTTGGAAGGGAACTTTGTTGAGAGGATGTTTGGCAAAGGAAATTGAAAAAGGACCCACAAGAAAAAGACCCATTGGGGTGAATGGCCCAAATCCTCTTATCAGGCTTCGAAGGATTCAACCAAACCTTATCAAGGAGACAAAGAAGAGTAGACAAACACTCAACTTCTTCATCCCTTAACCATCTATAGAAACCAAAGTCCCAAGACAACGCTGACAAATTTAAAATCGACGGAAGGAATTTTGAGATCACCTCTTTTTTATACAAAGAAACAGAGTACAAGGATGGAAAAAGGTCTTTTAGAGGGAGATCTCCAGCCCAAATGTCCTCCCAAAACCAAATAGAATTACTAGAACAAGCATCATACCTGACACAACTAAGGAACTACGGAAGAATTTTGTGAATTGCTTTACATGGTGTAGCTAGTTTAGCCCTCCTTGATACGCCAGCATCCCATCCACTCCCTAAACATACATGAATACTCTTCACCACTTCGTGCTAGAGTCTATCTCGCTCCAAAGGCCACCTCCACAACCACTTCCTTAACAAAGCTAAGTTCTTTTTAAAAACATTCTCGAGCCCCAGTCCTCCTTCCTCTTTGCTTCTACCCACAACACCCCAACTAATTAAGTGATCTTTTTTACCTTCTCCCGGTTCCCAAAGAAAATCCCTCATCAATTTTTCTAGTTTCTTCACTTCCCTAGACGGTATCCTAAAGACAGAGAGGTAATAAGTAGGTAGATTCATGAGGGTAGCTTTTATCAAAGTGGTCCTCCCACCCAAAGAGATAATTTTTCTTCCACACAGCTAATCTCTTTTCAATCTTCTCCAAGACTAGTGTCCAAAACCTACTCTCCCTAGGGTTTGCCCCTAACTAAGGCCCTAAGTAGGACAAAGGCCATGAAGAAATGGAACACTCAAAGTCTAGGTTGACTCCAGCTATGCAGCTCTTTCCCAGATTGATTTTCAAATTGGAAACTCCTTAAAAAGCTCTAATCAATACTTTCAGGTTTTCCACCTCACCAAAGCCTCCATCACAGAAGATCATCAAGTCATCTGCAAACTAAAGGTGAGTTACTAGAATTCGGTTTGTGCCTACTCTCCATCCCCTTATCACATCTTCCCTATCAGCCCTAGTGATAATTCGACTGAACACATCAGCTACCAAGGTAAAGAGAAAATGTGAAAGTGGGTCCCCTTGTCTAATACCCCTGCTAGTTGGACAAAAATCCCTCACCACCCCATTTACTAGGATGGAATAGTGACAAGAGCTGACACAACCAAACACCTAGCTACACCATCTTTCCCCAAACCTACACTTCCTCAAAACCTCTACTAGAAACTGCCAATCCACCAAGTCATAGGCTTTGTCAATATCAAGCTTACAAACAAAGCCTCTCTACTTGGACCACTTCATCTTTTCAGCACATTCATTGGCAATCAGGATCTAATCAATTATCTAACGTCCTTGGATGAAAGCCCCTTGGGCCTGACTAATAATTGAGGGAAGGATTTCTTTAATCCTCAAAGACAGGACCTTGGCCAAGATTTTATAGACACTAGTCACCAAACTAATTGGCTTGAAGTTTTTAGGATGGACAGAATCAGCTTTCTTTGGAACAAGAGCCAAGAAGGTAGCATTAATGCCTCGACTGACAATATGCTTCTCTACAAACTCATTAAAAACCTCACAAAGATCAACTTTTATCACCTCCCGACAATCTCGATAAAAGGCCATTGTAAAACCATCTGGGCCCGGAGCTTTGGGTCTATCCATCAAAAACACAGCCTTCCTAATCTCTTCTTCATCAAAATTTCTATCTAGCCACCTAACCTGATCTTCATCCAATCTTGGCCAATCTACCCCTTCTATTTCCATCCTCTCTTCCAAGGGTCTTCTATAAACCGATTTGAAATGATCCATACACTTCCTAGCAATATCATCTTAATTAGTGAATACCTCCCCCCCTACCTCTAACTTAGACACAAAGTTTCTTTCTCCTCCTCCCATTTGCCACATCATGAAAAAAATTAGTATTTCCATCACCTTTCTTGATCCACCCATGCCTCGATATCTACCTCCAGGTTATTTCTTCCCTCAGTAAGACTTTTCCTAGGTCCTTCTTCAACAGTCCCCTCAGATCTCTCTCCCCCTCCTCAATTCCTCAATTCCTCATTCCAATCTTTTATTTTATCCCCCTCAATTCCTCATTCCAATCTTTTATTTTATCCCCCTCAATTCCTCATTCCACCATAACTTTATTTTATTCACAAAGTCTGGGTGGGTTAGCCACATGTTCTCAAACCTAAAAGGTCTAGGTCCACTGGTAAAATCTTCTACAATTCTTATAGGACAATGATCCAAGGTTACCCTAGGCAAAGCTCTAAACACCAAGTTTCCCCAATAGTTCTCCCAATCAACATTAAAGATAAATCTATCTGTGGCGAAATATAGAGGGAGAAAGGAGAAAATTTTCTTTATTGATGATGAAAACATATTGAGCATACAACTTAAATAAGAAAAGATAGGAAAGGCAAACCCCTAGAATCTCTTGCAATCAGGGATTGACTAAATCTTTCCCTTAATCCTAGGATATGACTATCCTAAATTTATTCAAATCTCTTAATCAATCGCATCCAATCTTTCTTAATTTACCGACACTCCCCCTCAAGTTGGTGCAAAGATATCTATCATGCCCAACTTGCTAACTTGAAGCTAAAATGGCTATCTCAACAAGCCCTTAGTCAAAACATCTGCAACTTGCTGCGTGGTTGGTACAAATGGAGTGCAAATTATTCCTTCTTCAAGCTTCTCCTTTATAAAGTGTCT